TGTAACGACAATATGTATCTGTATTTGAAGCCTACAAGAGACTTTCAGGGATTCATACATAAATCGAAGTTGTACAAAAACACTACTTTTGTTGTGGGATGAATGCGGGATCAAGAAAATATGCAGTCGGGATTTTTGCACAGGAACATAATGGTGAGTGTGGAAAATAATGGTGAGTGCATCTGAAATACTGAGCCCACTAGAGGTGAACAGGGACACAACCCTCACTGACTGCGGTTCTCAAACCTCAGACCTGCTGTTTGCCAGGCAGCCTCACTAACTACAGCCCACGTTAACCACACAAACAGAAAGAATGTAAGCACTGGCCTCAAAGGTGGCTTGTAATCGAGCTGACGGCTGTGAATTTGCTCACTGGTGTAATGAGGTGCTAAATTAAGCAAACTGAACTCTGCTCCTGAGACCTTCACAATGAAGCACGCTGCATTTTAACTGGTGTTCGCCAGCTGCGTCATATCAAATTAAATATGGTTTCATGTAAGAAGAACTGACGTAATGTAATAATGCACTCTTTGAATGAGATCAATTTGCTGTATGTTTCATCTGGGAAATTATGAAAGATGGAGATTCCACATAATCCTGATTGTGCTACATTTAAGGCATGTGAGACTGAGTATACATTCATACATATGAATGACACCAGAAATTTAGGGCACCTCAAATTAAAGCAGAATACTAAATGGAAGCAGTCAATTTCTGCAATTCTCAGAATGTGAATTTCATCCCCATTTAAGGCTTTTACTAAGGTTGTATGGTTGCGTCTGTTATTTTGCTCTGGAGATGTTGTCTTCTAATGATGGTTTGATAACATCAAACCAGCCGACTCTCCATTTCCATCCTAATGAAAGTGGAGATAGAAAGATGTCTGTCCATGTGTGTGTGACAGAGAGATTTTGACTTGTATTGTTATACTTTATACCAAGAATGCCTATTAAAAATTCCATTATTGTGTGCATTAAAATAGAGGGTTATACTTGAAATCTTAAAGGGTAGAAATTATTTGGTCTATGTCTGTGCGCTAAAGACGTTTGATGGGTTTACTTTGTGGAAACACTGTGTACATAGTGGTTTGTAAAGGAGTGTCTAAAAGAGAGAGTGAGAGATAAAATCCAAGGAGATGAGAATGAAACATATCAAAGCTTTTTCAGTTAAGACTGCTGCCTGCTGCTGCTGGAAAGTTGATGACAGCAGTGAGAAACAAAACAAACAGTTGCGGGATGTTAAACTAAAACGGCGAGCAGAAAGACACTAAAAAACTCTGTAGCGCTGAGGGGAACTTCAGAGATGGGTCGGTTCATCCCTATGACTGGCTCGTTTCTCATTACACACAGGCGTAGACCCATTGTGCTTTGAGCCTCCAAGCACAGATGTGAAGTGAGTTTTCAGGCACAGTCCTGGAGGTAAAGATTTGCAACTTGTCAGAACATTTATGAGTGATTTATGCACAACCTTTTACACTTGTCTACACATACATATGAATGATTTAAATTCCTATACATAGCAACAAAACAACACCTACATCAGTATGCTGCTTGTGGATTTCAGCTCAGCATTCAACACAATTTCCCCCATGAAACTGACTGGCTCTGGGCTTGAGTACTACACTCTGCAACTGAATATTTCCTAACAATCAGACCCCAGATTGTTTGGACATCTCCTCCACTCTAGTTCTCAACACCTGTGTGCTCCGCCTTCTTCTGTTCACGCCGTACACCCACGACTGCATCTCCCGACATGGAGAGAACTCTGTTGTGAAGTTTGTAGATGACACCACCATCATCGGGCGGATTTCAAACAACGATGAGACTTCATATTGGGAGGAAATTTATAATCTTGTAGAGTGGTGCTCAGAGAACAACCTACTGCTAAATGTCAGCAAAACTAAGGAGCTGATCATTGATTTCAGGAAAAAGAAGATAAAGACACACACTCCTGTCTACATCAGTGGAGCTGAGGTGGAGTAGGTGAATAGTTTCAGGTTACCGGGAATCAGCATCACAGAGAACATGACATGGTCATCTCACATCTCCACACTGATGAAGAAAGCTCAGAAACGCCTGTATTTCTTAAGGAAACTTAAGAAGGCCAAATTCCCGTTCCAAGTTCTTGTCAGTTTTTACAGAGGAGCAATAGAAAGCATCCTGACTGGGAACATCACTAACTGGCATGGGATGTGCACGGCCCAGGACCGGAGGGCTCTGCAGCGGGTGATTAAAACTGCTCAGTTTTTTTTGGGCCGAAGTTCTTAGGGTCAAACGGTTGTTCCGTTCTTAGTTTTAAGCACTTGATAAAAGGAAAACAATTGTCAGTAGTTAGACCTTAAAAGGTTAGCATTTCATAGGAATCACAGATGAGAGGAACTTAACGAGCTTTCTGGATATATTGGCGGTTACACGTTCTTAGAGAATATAAGCAAGATACACAAATGGCATCAGATTATTGGACATGATAAATACCGAGTGACATTTATACATTAAACAGCATTTTAGACGATGGCATGTAATCCCAGGGAGAGAGAAAGAATTTGGAGTAGTCCAAATGTATTTGATATAAAATACACATATCCACACTGTTGGTACACTACACTGCAGAGCAGCTTTTCCCCCCAAGCTGTGAGACTTAAATTCAGATTCATCCACAGCATTGCTCCATCCAATATAGTTTATTTCTGTTTACCATTTTATAACTTTTTGTAGCTATTGTCTGCTTTTGCAGCAGAAAGGAACCACAAACTGCATTTAATTTTCAACCCTGTTGTAATATGAAAATTACATTTACTTTACTACTACCTTGTGACATTATCAAAATCAGAATCCAGTCAGAAAATCATGTCGTTCCTCACTTCAACAAGGGGAAACTATCGTAGACTCAGGAAGGGTTGAGTGGTTGGAGGTGCATCCACGTGCATGTACCTGTCAGCTATAATGGAGATAAAGGATGAAACACTGTAGAAAGCTGTGTAACCACGTGTCAGGAGCGTAGCTCTGCGCTCCTCCTTTTTTTCCTTTGATAGGTCTGTGAGATTTTCATTTAACAGAAGTGGGATGCCAAAAAATATGGTTTCCTCTGAGCAAACTGCAGCCATTGCTTGTTTTCAGAAACTCACATATAACTCATAACTCACACACACGTCAAGCCAATAAATTATCTTTTGTAAAACATAAAGATGAAAAGAGCATTGCAACATTATTCCTCCGGGCTGAATCTGATTTTAAAGCCGTTGTGCCAAACAAAGCCCATGATAAAGCAGTATTTTTTATATTTTTACGCCTCTTTGCTTGATGATACTGGAGCCATATGAATGATTTGTGCATCTTTGGTTCTTAACTCCTACATTGTTGTGACAATTGCTCAAATCCGTTTTGTCTACCTTAAAGGTTATCCAAATCTAGGGGCTAAAGACTTCATTACAGTAAATCAAAGCATTTTGTGTGTATAGGCATATGTCTGATTGTATATTCTGCTCCATTGGTGCGTTCTGCCACATTAAGCTCTCCAGTTAAATAAGCATGACAATTTGTTTCGTTGGAGCTGTTTTGTTGGAGCTGTTTTGTCCTCGTGGGACACACACAGCGGGATGTTGCTTTTACATAGCAGGCTGATTACTCTGCTTAGTTCACCCAAAGACAACATGCAATTCCCACTTCACTGACAGAGGAAACTGCATTGATTATGTGCAATAAAAAGAGATCAACAAAAACAATGCTAACTGTCAATCTGTTGTGTTTCAGTTACGCTGTCACTGTGTATCCCCACTGGGAAAAACTGCAGGTTTCCTCTCGATTTATTTCCTTCTGTGCTATTAAACCACGGGCGCACTTTTGATACTGTTTATATTGTTTAGATTGATAGCCATTGGCTTTACCTGATAGAGTCCTCAGTGGGTTGAACAATTGAGTCTATGAGTATCACTTCTGCTAGCCCAGGAGACATGAGGACAGTGATTGTGCCATGATAAACTGATAAGATGAGGCAATCTGTTGGTTCAGGTTGCTGGACCGATAAATGAGAGGTTTCCACTCACCTATTCAATCACACATCAACAGGGATTAGATGGCAACCTTTTGACACCGGGTGTGAGATGAGAAGAAGAGGGCTTTGTTGAACATGTGGAACAAAACCCTCATAAAGCATGCAGGAAAAAGGGAGTTTTGAATATTGTGCAGTACTCTAAATTTCTGCGTTGTTGGTTATGCAGTCTTGAAACTAGCAGCATAACTTTTTTATTTAATTTTATGTTCCTTGAGAAACAGAACAATACAGTTGTCGGTCCTGATGTATGCAGCCACTCACCTGCAGCAGTTTGTTCATCCTGCAGATTAGCTCCATGCTTTGTAAAGGTCAGCCCAAATGTTCTTCAAGTGTTGTGTGTTGTGTCTAACCCCGCGTACAGACACATTTTCTTGACCCATCTATCCACCCCGACCTCCGCAATTTTGTGGTTCTATAACATCACACTTCTTTTTGTTCTGTATCCACAAGAGTCATAATTCCCAGGGCCCATGGAGGGCTTTGAAACTTAAACTTACACATATGTATTTTTTGAGCATTTTATAAAACACCTGATGTTGAGGGTCATTTTAGTTGTTGTTGTTTTAAAAATGGCCATTTAAACCACAACAGAAGTAAGCTGGAATTATTTAAGTTCTCATCGTTGTCATGTTTTGGGGTGGGTGGTGATGGCGCAATCGATACATTTGGTGTGAGAGACCCAGGTTGAACCCATCCCCCCCGCCCCCCCCCAGTGTGACCCATCCACCATTGTGTCCCTGGCGTGCGACCTCTGACATGTATAGCAATTGTAAGTCGCTTTGGATAAAAGCGTCAGCTAAATGAAAACTTGTATTGACATATTATTTGTAAATATGGCTGACGATGTGAACTTTTTACAATTAATTTGCTTATTGCAGTTTTAACTGAATGACTATGAAACCTTTAGTGTATAACTGATTAACATGATGTTTTCTGTCTTTCTCCAACAGTCTGAAGAATCAGATATGTGTCCAGTGAGCGTGGGACAAAGATAAAAACCAGCTATTGGATTGATGTCAGACAAGCTGTGGTCAGCTTGCCCTGCTTTTTCTGCCTCTGCCCTGCTTCTGCTCTCCTCCACATCATTTTGATTTCTCTCTCTCTCTCTCTGTCCTGTCTTTCACTCTGTCTGTTTCAGCCACTCTGAGGGAGGAAAATAAAGACATTTTTTTTGTAACACTCTAGCACTGCATCGACTCTCTCACCTGTCGGTACACAGTACAGTTTAAACAGTTTCTCCGCATTGCTGGCCACTCAGACCTTTGACATTCCACTGCAGCTGCGTACTGTGTTTTTTATCCACTGACAGTCTGAGAACATTAAAGTGGATCTGATACACAGCAGCCTTTCTAAAAATGCATGGAAATATACCTTATTTTCTACAGGATGCTAAGTACTGTAAGGGGAATTTTGACTTGACAATATGAGGGTTGTTTTTAACTCTTTTTGTTTGCTTTAACTTGAATGAAACAGAGCATATGTATTTGAAATCAATAGCATTAATTAATTGTGGGCTTTAACTATGATAAAATCATTCTCGTTGCCCTCAGATTCTGTATGGTACGCACAGTGCAACTCAACTATAGTGCTTTTATTGCATACATGCTTGCAGTGGCGCTAAATCCCCTTGTGGCTTAAAGGGGTTTATGGCAATAATGACACTTGGTGGACTCTTGTTATACGTTATAATGGTATTATCTTGTATGGGCTTTACTGAACAGCAAATGACTTCTGTCTGTGGCTCTGGTAGTGCTTTAAGGAGACCAGCAGAATTAATAATGATACACATGAACAAAGAGCATTTTTAAAGCTTTTAAAGGGTTGTTCCGATTTATTAAAACTTGGGTTTTATTTTTTAAGTTTTAGCCCACATTCTTAACAATGATAATAACAAAAACAACTCACCAAGTTATTGTTGAGATCTGGGAATGCGAAAAAAGAACATTGCAAAAAAGAAAAGGTCTGAAAAGTCAAGAAACGAGCAGTCAGAACAGAACTTCTAAGGTAGCCAAACTTATATGAAAGAGAAAGTTAAGGCAAACTCTATCCATGCACCCATCTAATTTCATCCATGTGTTTGGGTTGCAGTGGTGCTATGCAAGGTACCTCAAAAATCCTTCTCCCCATTCCCCAGTTCACCAGGTCCTCCTGGGGAATCACGAGCCCTTCTCAGGCCAGATGGGCTATGTACAGTTACGCCACGTTACTGTACGCCACCACAATGGATTTGAAATGAAACTGCCGAGATGCAATTGAAGTCCAGACTTTCAGCTTTAATTCGAGGGGTTGAACAAAAATATCACGTGAAACTTTTAGAAATTGCAACCATTTCTATTCACGGTTCTCTTATTTAGGGGCTCAAATGTAATTGAACAAATTAACAAAATCATAAATAAAATGTTCATTTTTAATACTTTTTCGAGAATCCTTTTTAGGCAATGACTGCTTGAAGTCTGGAACCCATGGAAATTACCAAACGCTTGGTTTCCTCCTTTGTGATGCTTTGCCAGGCCATTACTGCAGCCGTCTTTAGTTGTTGTATGTTTGAGGGTCTTTCTGCCTTGAGTTTTGTCTTCAGCAACTGAAATGCATGCTCGATCGGTTGAGATCAGGTGACTGACTCAGCCATTGCAAAATATTCTACTTTTTTGCCTTAAAAACTCCTGGGTTGCTTTTGAAGTATGTTTTGGGTCATTGTCCATGTGTAAAGTCAAGTGCTGTCCAATAAATTTGGAATCTGAACAGACAATATATTCCCAAACACTTTAGAATTTATCCGAGTGCTTCTGTCTTCTGTCACATCATCAATAAACACTGTGGAATTAATACAGACATTCTGGGTGTGCTCACCTTTGGTTTTACCTCTAACTAAAGTGGTTTAGATAATCTGGCTAAACTGCAGGTTTGTTTATTCGATCATGTTTCTTGCCCTGTTGTTGCAATGGCTGTGCTCCCAGACCTGAGCAATTACTTTGGTGAGGGCAATGTTAAAATAACAATTAAATTATTCTCAGTGCTCCAGTTTAGAAAAACTAAAACAAAAGATAACAAATAGTTTGATTCTTCCCAGTTTAAACAGATATTGGATGACACGATCTCTTCCACAAAAATGGGATTTTTCTTTTGCTGTGTAATGCAGCCTATACAGTCTACTATATGTGGTCAGTGTTATAGGTGTAAAAATATTTCCTCAGATTATGATGCTTTCATGTCAGCATGGTCTTCATCTCAGGGAGGTGTAACTAGTTGCTTTAGTGAAATTCAATACGGCTGTTCGAACATTCACATGTACTGAATCCATTCCACTATAGAGCCTTGTAGAATGTGTTGATACATAAGATGAAATGGACTGAACCATGTAATGGTTTCACAAAAAGAATATTGATATTGTAAAGTGTTTTAAAAGGTAATTCAGCATATATATATATATATATATATATATATATATATATATATATATATATATATATAAATTACTCAAAGCTAATGTAGCGTTCTTCTTTCTTACATGTCATGTTAAGAAATAAAGATGTTAACTTTAAAGCCAGTACTGTATCAATGAGAAGTATGAGGACAATTATAATTGAATAATATATTACTGTTGTGGATTAGATTAATTTGTAATTGCTATCTGTTTACAGTATAAGTGATTTCTTCTGTCATTTTCAGTGCTGTGTCAACTACAGAACTGTGTTTGATCAAATTGTAGCTCTGACTCACGTTGTTAAAGCATTTTGTTTTGCAGAGACCTCTTAGTTTATTGAGAGCAGAAATCACTTGAATATAGAGCTGGAGATTTGTACTGTAGAGAAAGAGAAAAAAATCATCACAATACATCATGGACTGAAAACGAACTGTTGCTGGCTGATGTCAGAGCCGCCAGCTGATGTGAGAGACTCCACCGCAGATGACATTAACAATAATTTATAGAAATGTGTTTTTTAATAATGCAAATAAGAAGTGCACGTATGATTTGTTATTGCAAGCCCAAAAAAAATCTCCACTGAATTGCTTTGCTCAGCCTGAGTGACAACATGTCTGTCCAAACGTTGCTTTGGATCAGTCGTTTCTCTTTCATCACAGGAAATCAACCTCTCATACAACCTCTAGTCCCCTTGTGCTCTGGATTATGTGCTCTATTGTGTCTGAGAAAAGAATAAAAGGCACCTGCAACTACATAAACTTTGTATTGTGTTTATCTTGTTGTATAATAATAATAATAATAATAAATAGTAATAGGGAAATTTGTCTGTACAGTTATAATCACTGTAATTAATGTTACACACAAACTTTAAGATTTATAATTACTACACATAACACCACCAATGCTGCACAGTTCCCTTAATTAGTTGTTTTAATAACATAAGGTTTTGAAACATTTAATGTTTAATGTAATAATTAGTTAGTTTATTAGTTTTGTTGCTAATTATTTATTTCACTTCTTACATATAACAGAACTTAGCATCTTAGTGTCATCATTCTGATTGGCTGATGGTAGCCATTATGTATGGTAAATGCCTCCATGTAAATCCTGTCCAGGAATGTTATGACTTTGTACAATAATGAATTAGTCAGTCTCATAACTACTTGATCAATGTAGTTATGATCAATGTATACTTTTGTAGAGCTACTAGATGAAATGCTATCTAGTAAACAGGCTTGGATTATTTACAGTATGTGCAAGAGGTGGGCAATATGAATAAATTCTTCTATCACAGTATACAGTATGTATTTTTATATAGTGAAAAATGAAGGTTCATGTCATTTTTGCAGTCCAACATTCCTGCTCATTGATTTGCAACGTTTCCAGCATGTGCCAAATCTGAAATATTAAATGAATAGCTAGCATCTAGAACACAGAAATATAGAAATCATTTAGAAACATGGTTTGATAGCATATATTATCATTACACACAGCACCAGCTCCTACAACCATCTAACTTTGGTTGCAATAAAATTATTTGTTTACTACGTCTGCTTACTAATTTACACTGATCCCTGACGCCCGGGCCAATCACGTGGGCCCGCCAGCAGTAACAAAGGACCAAACCTCTGACCCCAGCCAGGATTTGAAAAGGCCCCCACTGCGAGTTTCTTCAATAAGCCGACAAAAGACAGACCTCCGGAGCAATTCCCTGGCAGAGAAAGCGACGCCTTTAAGCTGTCCTAACCGAGAACGCACGGAACTCCGCCAGCGTGAGGCAACCCAGCTGGGAGAAACGACAAGCAGTAAGACCAAAACACTGCATTCTGTGATCAGTGATGTCCCATACTTGTTAATAGATTATCTTTAACTCTTAGCTTGCGTTCCTTAGTTGCCTGTATGAGTCAAATGCTCCCCACAAGAGAACTCCACCTTCTCATTGTTTAGCCATTGTTTATTTCTTTGATGTATTTAACCGCATTTTTATATCACCTTAGTTAGTTAATAAACCTCACTGTAATCAAAGGAATTGTGTGTGTGTTGCCTGTCTCCAAGTCCCTGTCATGAGAATTTACCCCTTCGATATGAGACTGACTGATTTATTTAAGATAACTGAGCGATTGTTAACTAACTGATCACTAGTGAATAACTGTATAATTATTAAAACGCTACCCAGAGAATCTCGAGACCCTGGACAAACGGAATCTCGGGTGGTGCCCCGCGAGAGATTTATGAATTAATATTCTCTAATTTTGTATTAATTCACATAAGTATACATGCTACACCCTTGTACTTTACATGTTTCTATAATGTCACAGTATCAGATCACTCTTCTTTATTTATTCTTCTTTAATGATGCTTTGGTCCAGCAATTATTGCAGTGCAGCAATTAGTCATGTTACCTTTGTTTAACAAAGTCAACATGACTGCTGTAAAAAGGATCTATTCACCTTGAGTTTCCCGCCACTGCTGGTGCTAACAAATGGCAACCCTTTGAGAACAAATAAACCACAACACACCAAATACAGATGAAAGCCTATTTTTGTTTGATGTAGGATTGTCTTGTTGCTGATTAACATACAATATAACTGACTGATCATAGTCAGAGATAGATTTGGCTCACTATGAATTCTCTGCATGTTTCCCCATTCACTCCTATGGAGTTCCTTACATTACATTTTCCAGTGAAATGTTCCAGCAGTGCTGGGCTCCGTGTGTCCTGACCCATGAAGACAGATTATTCTAATTAAGCTATGCAGA